ACACTTAAAAATACCCCCGCCGCAGCAAATGTCTCCTTAGAAATATCACATTTATTCCCTATTTAAATAGAAGTTTAACGAGTACTTAGGTTTGCTGCAACAGGGAGGGTAAAAAGGTGTTTTTGTAAAATGTAATAATTTAGTATCAAATGAATGCATTTTCCAAATTTGATCAAAACATGTTCATAAACAACAACAGCAAACTACAACAGTTTACTTAGTCTCCATAAGAATAACATGGGCATTTTAAATTTACAGATTTTTGGAATTTTCTCCGTAACCATTAGGCGCATAACAACTCTTTAATATACTAAACTATTTGTTTTTTTAAACTCTACAAAATGGCATGGAAATAAATCGCTAAATTTTAAGTTTATATGGTCAAAAATAGGAAAAACCAATTTTTACCCCATAAAACCCCCCATAAATCCGTGTTCCCATATTCCGATCATGCTGGGCAAAACCAAAAATGAAAATAAACCCTAACCGTTTTACAAAGGTTTTACATTGGGTTTCCATGGAAACAACCCATGTTACGATAATTTGAACTATTTATTCATGATAATGAACTGAAACACACTTGATAAATCTATGCCAAGATGTATGACTGACTGCTGGAACATTTCCCGTTCCCACAAAACCCCCATTTATTTTCTCAGCACAGGGATGTTGCTGGCCACAGGGTTGACTGCTATAGTGGTTGAGAAAAAAGGATGAAATACATTAAAAGAGTTGTAGATAACTTTTAACTTTGGTAACGTCAAATTCAGACGAGCAGACCGTGTCCAGCGACTTGCCATAGTAAATAACGCGATGAAAGTAGAGAATTCTTACCCGTAAACCCCAACACATTGTTTCAACGTATCAGCATCGCTAAGAATTCTGATGAAGAACTACAAAACTTCTTGTCCTTCTTACGGAGAAAATTCCAAAAATCTGTAAATTTAAAATGCCCATGTTATTCTTATGGAGACTAAGTAAACTGTTGTAGTTTGCTTGTTTATGAACATGTTTTGATCAAATTTGGAAAATGCATTCATTTCATACTAAATTATTACATTTTACAAAAAAAAACACCTTTTTACCCTCCCTGTTGCAGCAAACCTAAGTACTCGTTAAACTTTTATTTAAATAGGGAATAAATGTGATATTTCTAAGGAGACATTTTAGTGTAAATCCAATCAGGGAAATGGAAATTCGCTTAGTCTGCAGGTTTGCTGCGGCGGGGGTATTTTTAAGTGTGTTTCATTTTGTTATCATGAATAAATAGTTAAAATTATCGTAACATGGGTTGTTTCCATGGAAACGTAATGTAAAACGACAGCATTTAGCAACGTTTTTAATTTTTTGTACTTCTGGCCTTTTTTAGTGTGCCCTAGTGGCGAAACGGTTTGTCGTAGAAACAAACATTATATAGGAAACTTGTAGTAAATTTTGTCATCTTTAATTTTACAAAGCATGATTTTATCAAAAACCCATACTTACCGAGATTTGCCCGAAAAACCAAAAAAAGTGCCCAAATTTTAAGGTTTTTTACAAAATAACCAATGTTCCGGGCAAAATATCTGTCAGAAAACCTCATATTCGTGTTCAGCGACCCAAAAAACACAAAGAAAAGTGATGATTAGGACTGTACCTAAACTTTCCGCTAACTGTCACTTATATTCCTAATATGCCTAGCCTACTACCAATCCAAGTGCAATCAACATTAGGCAATTAAGCAATTAACAAATACCCCAGCAAACCTGCCTACGAAGCAGATTTCCATTTGCCTGAATTAATTTTCAATTAAATGTATTTAATTAACATTAGGTTTTATGAGTACCTAGGATTAGTGCTATAGGGATGGTAAAAAAGTGGGTTTTTTTTGTAAAATATTAATAACATAGTATAAAATAAATAAATTTACTAAGTTTAATCAAAATATATCCATAAACAAGCAAACTACAACATTTTACAATATTCTCCATAAAAATAACATGGTAATTTTAAAATAACAATTTTTTTAATTTTCTCCGTAACCAATAATTGTACAAATAAACTTTGAAATACTAAATTGTTTGTTTTTTAAGCTCTTTAAAAAGGTCTAGAGATAAATTCGGAAATTAAGTGTTTATAGGGAAATTCGCTAAAATTGGTTTTTCCTTTCCGAGTTCGTTTGGCTCCGCTACCTGACCGATTTTCATGATTGAGGTCTCAAATTGAAGGCATGTACACACAGATTTGCCATGGAGCATCTATTTATCTATAATCCCACTCGGCTTATACCACAGAAAACATACTACTATAGTATGTTTTCTGTGCTTATACGAAAACGAAATTTGCTCCCCATGTAGTGATGTGGGCCGGGTAAATACCCAGTGGGTAGGTAAATATAAATTGGGTATTTACCTGGGTATTTACCCCAGGCCCGGGTAAATACCCAAAAACTGGGTATTTATAATTTGTATTAAAGTTAGAAAAGATTGAGATGTTTTTTTGAAATTATTACCTTGTAAGGATAGCAAAATGATAATAAAATGTGGTAAACAAAATTTCATATGGTCACTACTAGCATTTTACTTCTCGGTATGATCGCCATAAATACCCAGGTCTGAGCATAAAGCATAATCGGCATAAATACCCTGGTCGCATGGTTGCACTGGTCCTGACTACTTATGATTTTTTAATTTCTATGATAGATAGATGAATTTATTTTATTAAAAGTGAAGAAAAATTATTTGTAAAGTAATAATTATTATTTAGAAAGACAGGAAAATTCAACCTAGTAGTGGCCTATGTGTAAAAAACTTAAGAAAATAATTAAAATTCAATCTGTAGGATGGCAGGATTTAATAATATTTTTGTTCTAGATCTTTTGTTGGTAAACTTATAAAAAAAAAAACTAATTTCATAAACTTGTGATACAAAAAATTTGAATCTATAGCACAATAAATCTTTCAAAATTATATTATAGGCCCTAAGTTAGACCAAAAAACAGGAGATACATTTTTTAATAGGTTTATCCAAATATATTATTGTTCCCAACTAAGCGGTAACACAGAAAAGTTTAATGTAGACTCCCTCTTATCCGGACACCTTTTAACCGGACAATTTTTATCAGCCCATTAGTTTAACCTGACTAGATTGGCAAGAAGTGAGCGGTACTGAAACGACTATTCTCGTGGGAAAGATTTGAGACCAGTGATCACGTATCTAAATACAATGCTCTCCTAAATTAAAGTCGAATATGACAGTACCAGTACACGGTTTCTGTTTTAACAAGTTTTTGGGGACGTCGGTTTAACCAGAAAACCCGTTATCTGGACTAGCCTCGGTCCCGAGGAGTCCGGATAAGAGGGAGTCTACTGTACATTCAGTATTCTGCCATTCTGCCTATATCAATCAGGCCTTGGGTCTGTCTAGCCTTCCAAGCCATTTACACAATACAAATTTTAACTATCATAATTTAATAACAGTAGAAGTAGATTTAGGTTCACTATTTCTCTGATGAGGTGTTGTCTTGATTTCATAAAAAAAAGTGCTAAATCATTAAATAAAAGGTACTAGCAATTCTGCAAAGCTTCAAGATACTGTAAAAGGTGAAATAGACTATCCTAATTTATCATGTAATGATAACAATAACATATTTAGGGGTATATAAAAAGGAATTTAAATCGATTTCATAAATACCCAAAATACCCGGGTATTTATGGATTTTGGGTATTTACCCGGGTAAATACCCAAGGTATTTACCCCGAGTTTTAAATACCTGGGTATTTTACATCACTATCCCCATGTATTTCTTATGGGAGTTCAATTTGGTTTCTCTTTTCCGAGTTCGTTTGGCTCTTTTACACGACCGATTTTCATGATTGTGGTCTCAAATTGAAGGCATGCACGCAAAAATTTAACATCAAGCATCGGCATATGCTTGATTAAATTGTATTCATTTTTTAATTCTTACTTCAATTTAAGATGTATTGCACCAGTTATAGTTGTATAATACTATATATTTTGGTCTAAGAACCTTCAGTGAAATACTGGTTTTCATTTAAGCTATTAGTTATTCAAATCGGATGAGTTTCAAGCAAACGCAAGGTGAACAACCAACATAAAAATTATTTTTCATACAGTTTTTTTATGATTAAAAATCAATAGCTCCAGAATTGTTCATGTTTTTTTTATATGTTTTAGACTCAAAATAATCAGTAAATTATAGGCTTATTTAATTTGAGCTATTGATCGTTTGAACCAGTCAAGATACTGTATTACTCAATCAAAAGTCATAAATTTGATTATTTCTTGGATAGTATATTTATTATAACGCTGCAGAGCAGCATGGGTCCTCTAGTATCAATTAATTATCCCATTTTTAATAATTGGCTTTTGAATACATATTAATTAATATGAAGATCTTTTTAGTCAGTCGAGTTCCCCTCCCTGAGAATAACTGTAATTGAATTATTGTAGACTATTTGTAAACTCATTGTTCCGTCCTACTGAGCTAAAAAAAGATGGCGACCCTATTTTTGTTAATTTGAGTTACCAAACTTCATTCATTGTAATACCCCATTAGTTCATTATTAAAAAACTTGTATTGTAAAGGAAACCTTCAGATTTGTCATTTGTCTGTTTATATAACTTAGGCCTAACTTAATCCAAACGAGATTAGTAAAGGTACATACCAGAATAGAGAACCCCTTTTATACAAAATTAGTCCAAATTCCAAAGGCACTACCATTAACAATAACACATAAGTGCAGTTTACCAATTGGGTAGTGACGGATATTATTTTCACAACATAGAACAGAATAATAAGTAGGCTACCATAAAACATACGAATTGTTTTCTTTTATCTACTGCCAATACATAGTTGTTTTGTTTTGTATTTGTAGAATATAACTATCTTTTAATTTAATGTTTTGCTACAGTATTTAAACTATCGGAATTTTCTTAAATTTAAGACTTTTTTACTTTTGTATGAATAGGCTATACGAAAAAAAGAAAATTGTCCAAGAGGGGCTTAAAGTAAACATTGATTTTTTTATCCAAGAAGTGAAATAGCAAATTTGATTATACAGTACTAGCCACAATTATATTTATTTTATTAAGTCAATTGTCATTCAATATTCCAAATTCCATTTCCTTAGAAATATCCGCAAACAACATGTTTAACTGGTTCATATTTTCTGATTGGATTTCACTCAGAATGTTAGATTCATTAGGTCTAGAGTCCATGGATGTGTGGGGTGATTTCCTTCTCTCACGATGTGAATGCGCCAAAGTGATTGAACTCTTGACGGTTTCTCCTCTAAGTAACGTTGTATGACTCTCTGTGTAGAGGTTTGTTCTTGTTTGAACCTCAGCCTCCGCTGCCGCCAGGTCCAGCTGGATGCTGCTGAAGATCGTCTGCAGGACCGCAGCCAGACACAGAGCTCCTGGGTCACGTGTGTCTCCCAACACTGTAGAGCTGTCTGACATTCTGGGTAATGTCTTACTTTTCCTAGTTGAACCCTCAGCACCTCTCATTGCTGATGCCACCCTCTTGCTCTGAAAAAAGGTTACATAATTTATTAACATCCTATAAGTATCCTTAAGGTTTTAGGGTTTTTCACTTAATTGGAATAATCATATGTATGTTGCCTGTTGCATGTATTCAAACTCTCAAACACTTAGTTTTGAAAAAAAAAATAGTTAGGCCTAAATGTTATTAAACCAATTAAAAGGGTTTTACTGTGTCTAGTGATCAATTTTACCTTGGAGGTATCGGTGCATATCCTTGCTTAACTATTCTTTACAAAAATAATTTCTACTTTACTAACCATATTCCTGTTCTAACTAATAAAATGTGTTAATATTAGTATGCTACGTCAAACCTATTAAATTTAATTTTAAAGACACTTACCAGTCCCTTAACAGAGTATTCTGCAGTAGATTGAACAAAAGGGTCAAGGGCGTCCAGAATAGTTCCATCGCCAGGTTGAACTCTGGTGAATCGTTGGAGACCATCCCTTGCACACCTGGCCGCTTCCACCCACATGCTCAGGTCTACTGGAGCCTTAGGAGGGGCTCTCAAGAACACCTGGCAAATACATGTGTAATGTATACTCATACCTAGTACCACTCTAACTCAGGTGAATCGTTGGAAACCCTCCCTTGCACACACCTGGCTGCCTCCACCCACATGCTCAGGTCTACTGGAGCCTTAGGAGGGGCTCTCAAGAACACCTGGCAAATACATGTGTAATGTATACTCATACCTAGTACCACTCTAACTCAGGTGAATCGTTGGAAACCCTCCCTTGCACACACCTGGCTGCCTCCACAAACGTGCTACTGTAGGACAACAAAATTATAAAGATTATAATACTACACCAGGTGACGCCGGTCAGACATCAGTGTGGACGCATTGAGAGAATATCTCTCGATATGATTGCTCGGTCCCACAGATCTGGCAATCTTGTTGCCCAGACCCAGCGATCTCTGAATCACCGGAGATTTGGTGGATTGCCAGGGAAAATCGAGCAATCAGTTTAGGCTCGTCACACACTGCCTCCGGTCCGTTTTATTCTGATCCGGTGTTTTTCGCCGAATCCGGCAAATTTCCACATACTGCATCACACGTTCCAGTTCCGGCGACCAGTCTATGCGAGGACAGCGGATACTGTTAGTTGAAAAAGTGTTTAATCAACAACTAGTTAGTTTTAACAAAATTTAATTTTAACAATGAGTGACAGTGAAGAAGAGATCATAGTAGGGCTAGTAGTATTAAATTGATCACTTATTTCTTCCCAAATATTTTCCTTAATAACTAAGTTGTAGTAGCCCTTATGGCCCAGGTCGTATAGCACAGGTTACTCCAGCACTTGCACAATCAATTTCTCTTCTAATGACATTTTGTAACAAAACGTACAGCATAAGTAAACAATCGCCAAAAAACACGTCTACTGCTACGTGGTGAGTAGAAGTCGTCTGCGCATGCGCGAGCTCTCCGGCGCCGGAAGCGGCCGTAGAACGATTGGCCATGGATTGGCACAAATTTTTAGCCGATTTGGAATAGCACTACTGGCACAATAATTAGAGGGGATTAAGAAGGGTCAACCTGTAAGGTTCGGAAAGGCACGATTGGCACAACAGACCGGTAAGGAGGTAGTAGGCAGGTAGCCATTATGCGGGAAAGTGGAAATTGTTTTGTCCCTACAAGTTCCCTGCTGTAGTGCTTATTAGAGTAAGCAATTACTTCATCAATGGTGTAAGTTTGCACGACAAATCTGCAGCTACGGTCACTGCGCTAGCTGGATCCAAATACAACTACACTAACCTAACCTAACCTAACCTAACCTAACTTAACCTTTGAAAACACGCGATATTACCGGCAAATGACTGTCGTAGCAGAGTAGACGGGGAATTTTAAACTTCCCGTTTTCCCTCGTTCGATGGCGTCTACCTGGACGAGCGGTTGTGCCAATCGTGCCTTTTCCAAGCAGGCGAGTTGACCCTACTTATTACGCTCAAATGATTGTGCCAATACTGCCATGGGCAGAAGATCCAAAAATGTGTGCCAATCGTCCCGTTCCCCCGGAAGCTTGATTGAAGCCTATCGCTTCTCGACCGAAATAATTTTACCGGAGAGCACCTGACGCACCGGACCTGATGCAGTGTGGGCACTTCCATTTGAATTAATGGTTTTCGATTGGTTTCCGAATTTACCTGATCCGGCATGCCTGATCCGATTTCACCGGACCGGACGCAGTATGTGACGAGCCTTATAAAAAAAGTCACCAACCAGTCAGTTTGGCAATCCGATCGAAACAACTCCATATATTGGGCAATATTTAGGCAATATGGTCACCGGTGATCTAATCACTAAAAATCGCTCAACGACGGGCGACCAAATCACCCAGTATGGGGGGCTTTAGGTACACACTTAGATGGCCCAAGTGCAACTAAGCTCGAACCAGAACAAAACACATCTTATCTATCCCCACCAAATTTTGATTGATTTCCTCCTTGATTGAAAGTGCTAGGTATCCTAGTCTGTGGCCCCTAGCAATAAAACGTTCAATCATCAACTTAGTCGCTTGTCAACCAGATCGCCGGATGATAAGCGCACGGGTGTGTGCATTTAGTAGCCTTAAACATTAGTCATTAAAATTAGTCGTTCCACCAGTTTGACTTGGTAAAAAAGTTCTTATATTTTATTAATATTTAACAGATTAGTAATTTAGAACAGTGCAATCTGTTGGTGGCCCACATAAACTACAACCATTTTGATGAAATGCTGGCGACAACTTTAACATTGAGGTGGAATGTCTAGGCTAGTTGTATCAATAGTCAAAGAATGTATGCACTGGCCACTAACCGACCACTCCGACTCTTGAACATTTTGTTCTTGTGTCAATAATAATCTTACTAATAAAAGCTGTTAAAAAACTTTTTTTTGTGAATAGAACATATACCTACTGTGTTATAACTGAAAACTGTTATAAGTTTACTCTAGGCCTAGCTGGTTAATATTGCCTGCCAATGTTAGATTATATGTTTTAAACCAAAAGAATATACTTATTTGTTATTAAATACAGCATACCTGAGCAGCAGAAGAAAAGAGAATGGAAAATATTCCACCTGCAACGCCACCCATGGAAAATCCAGCTAAATGTGCCAACTGATCCAAAATTTGATAAGGTGATACAATTGTTAAACGCCTGTTTTCTATTTCCATTTTTATAGCACTTGCAAATTTGTTCACTGATGTACCAAAATCATTGTCTCTGTCTAGTTTGTTTAGATACTCTTCCATGTTTTCAATAGTCACAACAGCGTTGGAAAGAACATTCAATAGGTTGGAGGCTTCGGTTTTGGTAAACTTTGGACCCATACATTTTTTGTAATTTATTGTACTTAAAGCAGCAGTTGAAGGTGAATCCAAAATTACTCTTTTATCTATATCATCTGAAGGAACAGCAAATTCACTACTCCAAGAGCTAACATTGGTAGGATAGTCTAACAATTCAAGTATATCACTTGTTACTTTAAGAACACTAATTGAAAATCCCGCTGAACCTGAGTTTGAGTATCTACCAGTGTAAAGCCTTTTAACTGAGAAGTCTAGTACCTTTATTTGTTCAAGAATGTCTTTAATAATTAGGCTGAAATGGAAGTCAGACAAGTCTCCTAAATTGTTTATGATAATTGCAATTTGGTCCTTCTTGGATATGTGCAGAGAAAAATATGAACATGGATGAAAAATGTGGTACAATGCCTGTTTGGCTATGAAATTAAGTTTTCCATCATCCCCCTCACTGTCAAAAGTATCTCCTAAGGGAAACGTCTTCTCAGATTCTCCTTTGCAATCACAGCCGATAACCATATTATCTAGACGAATTTGTACATTTATTGTTCCTAATGATTTACCTTTTAGTTTTTCTATAGTTTGAAATATTTCATATAAAGATTTACCTCCTTCTGCCATTGCTCCTGCTATTTTGAACAAAAACTTTATGCCACAAAGGCCTTTTCTTCCAACTGTTTTTGAAACACAGACCCCAGAAACGTCCTCACCAACACTGACCAACAAAGTCTTTATACCCTCTTGTGCTGCACTTTGGCAGGCAGAGCCAAAATTCAATCTGTTTGCGAGATTGTTTGATACAATAACCAATATGCCTTGTTTGTTCTTTGAAGCTATGATGCGTAAGACTTCTAGAATAGTTTGAGATGGGGGTGATTTCTTAAGTTCACCAAACACAGCTCCTGTCAGCATGCCTTGTCCGATGGAGCCGGAGTACAGAGGATCTGTTCCTGTGGCACCTCCAGACAACAACATGACACGGTCTACGATTGTTTCGTGATTTCTCATTAGAATAGTTTTGTGGGTTTTTAACAGAATTAGATTATTGTTTTGCAATACAACACTTTCCAAGTATTTAGTGACTAAGTTCTCTCTGCCAAAAAGTGGTGCAATCTCTTCATTGACTTGTTTCTTTTTAAACTCTCTCACTTCACTTTTGTAGGGGTCAATAAGATCTTGAACTGACGTTTTTATACTAATTTCACTAAATCTGAAATAAATAGTTCATCTATACAGGGTGTCCCACGAGAGGTGTCTCAAATTGATTACGTAAAAACGGCTTAACGTACAAGGATCAAATTAAATTATTTCCCGTTAAATCGACCCGAAGAAATAATGTAAAATTATTTTTAATTTTTTTCCAAACGGAAAAAGATAATTAATTTCTCTTTTCGCCAAAATGTTTGTCTATTAAATACCTTTAAATTAATGTATAACATGACATATTTTTACATTTGAAAATTCCGAGATTCGAACTAGTGACCCTCAGTTTTTGGCACACCCTGTATGGGGAAAAAATAAAAATATTTTTACGTTATTCCTTGGGGTCGATCTAGCGGGAAATAATTTTACCTCATCCTTGTACGTTAAGCCGTTTTTCCGTCAAGAATTTGAGACACCTCTCGTAGGACACCTTGTAGCCTATAATTAAAAGCCAACACGAAATTTGTAGACTGAACGGTTGAACGCCTCAGCCTTTTTAACCGATTTTGAATATTCACGTCTCATTGGAAAGAGCGTGTCCCGTATGTGTGCCAACTGATCTTAAATTTGTGAAAATGTCCCTTGGGCTCTGCCCCAGTTGCTTTTAAAGTTCCTATGTTATCCTTATGAAGAAAATATTATTCATCGTAAAGAAGAAATTACCATTTAAGATAATAGTTATTAAGCGCAGCAACGCGCGCCGGGTAACTGCTGGTATTTACTATGTTTGAATTATTTGGGTTTGCGTTGATATTACAATGGAAAAATACCCCCGCCGCAGCAAACCTGGTACTTGATATTTTGTTCTATGATGCACACTTGTTTTAAATGTCCAGTCTACTAAAATTCTGGGTTTCATTCAAAACTACACCATTAAAAAAAATATTTTTTGTTAAAAATAGCGAAATATACATTCTCATAGTTTCAAGTAAAAACAGTAATATATAATAATAATAATAATAATAATAATAATAATAATAATAATAATAATAATAATAATACCGGATGGTACCGGTAATTAAAGTAGGCCCTACTGTAGCTTAAAAAGACTTGATAACATCTGAAAAAGGTTGATACATCATACATCTGACGGATTTGGCCTATTATAACAGTAAAACCACTTAATGCTAATTTGTTTGCATAACTCAATAAAAATTAATTAACAATGTACCTGACATATCCTGAGGTCTAGGAGGTGAGCTTAGAACTACTTTGTTAGAACTTAGAACACTTGGTTTTCTTATTTTAAGCATGGTAGACAGTTGGGCAGAGCTATGGTCTCCCTGCCTGGTGACAGTACCCGCATAGATTGAATGCAAATCCTGTTTTTATTTTGTTCTTTTCACTTATCTTTACTGGGTGTTCATGTAGTGTATGTATCCTCATAAACCATTTTTTAGTAATTCAGGTTGTTGTGTTCATAAGATGTTGAAAATAAACAAGATAAAAAACACACACGTATGACTATTTTTATGCCCTGGGTTAAAAGGGTTGAATTGTATACTGTACTCTGTATTTGCATTTGCAAGCCCTGACTTTTTCGAGAAGCTCTTACGACACAACCCATAGATTCACACTATTTAGTACCATACTATACATTTTGCTTTGTGAACCAGTTTCTTGTAATCTACATCAAATGTAGGGTTCCATAACTCAGGGTGAGAATATGAGTTTAGAAGAAGTGCTGTAAATATTACATTTCAAGCTCCATATTGAAATTGAGTTCCTAGGTTTTTTCTCAAATAAATAAATTTCAAATAAGGTGAGTGAAAAGGTGCCACTATTTATTTTTCTTAGTAAACATTATTTTGCAGATGATAGTTTTTGTATTGGCAGTAATATTTATCCAATTTAAACATCTGGTTCAGATTTTGAAACCTCCATGTAGCCAGGCTCAGATATACTAATAATATCAATGGGCAGATTGGGAAATTGCCCTGGTAAATTTCTGGGGTTTTTGGAAATTTTCACCATTTTTATGGTGGCGTCATCCTGTAATAAAGAGCTCAAAAATTGTGGATATTTATAAGCATACACTGCGGATGCGATACTCCCTAGTTTGGATTAACGTGCGCACTATTAAGTATGATTATATCCAGCACTATGATTATATCCAGAGTACTATCATCCTGATAATTATACCAATTCGTTAATTACAAGGCAAAAATGTGGTTCGGATTCCACTATAAACTGTAGGTCCCTTAGTTACCTACAGGGGAAATATCGTTGGCTCCATCATTGGCTGAATTAACTAACAGCTTTGTCTAAGGAATAAGTCAACCTTATAGTCACGAACAAGACTACAAGATCACCCCACTCATCCTACACTCGTCTCCATCCATACTTGGCTTAAAATACCTACATTCGTATGGTTGCCATTTTAAAGAAAGGTATTAAAGAATTAGTACGGTATTTATTTTTCTTAATAAACATTATTTTAAAAATAATAGTTTCGTATTAGTATAATTTTACCAATTTAAACGTGGTTCAGATTTTGAAACCTCCATGTAGCCAGGCCCAGATCTACTTATAATGTGAATAATGGGAAGATTGGGAAGTTACCCATCGGGGGATATTTGGAAATTTCCCCCGCAATTGTAAATTTATGATGTGAATCGATAACTAAAAAATAACAAAGGGCAAATGCTTGGTGAACAGCACATATCTCAAGTAAACCACGTGAGATTTAACACCATTGATATACACAGTTTGTCTGCTATTCTTTCGATAAGATTAAAAAAAAAAGTTTCAAGGCAGCACCCTTCCCCAGCCCTGAATGCTATAGAAATGCAATTCTGTAAGAAAGAACTCTGAAATTCTCTGAATTGTGAGTGATCAACACAATCGAAGGCATAACTTGTGTCAGAGAAGCTAACTTGAGCATAGGACCTCATCTCAAAGGCCTTCAAGATTTGGGATATTAGATCGCCCACGGCATCCTGGGTGGCCCTGCCCTGTCTCCTGGGTAGCTTCTGAAGCCAAACTGAGAACCGTGCCCTAAAAACAACATTATTTCTGTATTTTTTGACAGCACAGGCACAGGAGACACAATAAACAATATGTATGCTTTTGTCGACGATAGCTTTCTAGCCCATGGTGGAATTCCACCATGTTTCTAGCCTATCTTTAGGCCACTTCTTATAAACAGGACAAAGCCTTGACATTTTAAGTTCATCTGGAAAATCTTAGTCGACACCAGCGTACTCAAACATAACTGGACTTGACTAGCGTATCAAAATGGTCAACGCCTTACAGACAACATTAATTAATGTTATTCTATATACTTAGGCTTGATGACAGTACTGAAAAAACAAAATCTTGAATCTTGATTCCTACTTCACAGCTTGAGGTCACTTTATACCATGGGGCACATCTTTATTCTATGCCTATTTGCACTGCACTGCAGTAGCGTCTAAGCTATATGATGACTCACAGTACTGCTTTTTTTTGCTACAAACAGAAACACAATCTGTCAGCAATCTTTCGTTTGTGGTTTGTGTTTTCGTTTTCAGTTTTGGGTTTAGGTTATGTTTTCTGTAAACGAGCTTGTGCCTTTTATTGTTCCCACGAGTTCAATAACTCTTGATGGTTAACTTATAATTTTGTTTTTTATAAATACTCACACAAAAAATTAAAATTTATATGGTTAATAAACTGATGTTAAATAAGAAATAACGCTAAAAAATGACTGTCGTAAGTAGTAAAAGTTAGGTTAAGCCCAAGAATTCGGCTCAATAGGCCTAACTTAAAAGATTTTTTTCAAATCAAATGCATGAGTCCTATTAAAATTACCATACTATAAAATAATGATTCTATTTAGTAGAAAGACTATTAGTGTATCCAAGCGTACACGTACACATGGGTGCTGTATATTCTAATACTTTTAATACCTAGGCTAGGCTACTTTACTTTGAAATGGCGACATACGAATGTAGGTGTAAGTTACTGTACCTATTTTAAGCTTATAGTATGAATGGATGAGTGAAGCGATCTTGTAGTCTTGTTACTGACTAAACCCTATGTCCCACCATGCGTGGCGCTGTCGTTACTAAATACCATGGTGAAAATGTGCGGGTAGGAGCGTCGTTGCACATATAGGCCTATCTCCATGCAAGTCTTTTCCCATGACGCATGTTGTGGCGGTCTAGGGGCCGCAGTAGATAGTGAACAAGATAAAGACCTCCATGCTACACTGTGTTTTTACCGAGCTGTGTGATTTAATGATTCAAGGAGTGGTGGTGAATTAGCGTGCGCTGCGGCTTGTTATTTATTGCTGAGTGGTGAATATTTGAAGTTAAAATTGAATTGCTCTTTTGTCTACTCCATTTTCGCACAATAACCAATAAAAATTGCAGAATAACTGACAGCTCAGGCCTCGCTCCGACCCGCGCCTTTCAACCCCGTTCTGCGCCACTCTGGCGCGTACCACCACGGGCATAATTTGGTAGGTGCAGTTTCTTATCTGCGCTAACGTACGGTAAGCTATAAATACTATATAGTCGGTATCGCTTAAAAATATTGAAGTGTTAACAATCGATAAGTTATAGCTTATTGATTAGGTACTTAATTAAACTGTTAGATTTTTTCTTAACATAAGTTACTACCTATGTTTTTAACATTATTATTCAAATTATATATTTAGGTACATTTTACATTAAAGTACCTATGTTAAAAGTCAAAAATGGAAAGAGAAATAGACTAGATAATGAGCAGAAAATAATTTAATTATTCACAAAAGAAAAGTTACTCAATCATAGTAAAATGCTACCAAACTATTCTGTAATCACAACATAACAATTCATTCAAAAATCATATGTTTCAAAATTATAAAAGTTCATATTTTCATAGCAGCTGGAAAAGACAATACAAAATATAAACCATAGATTATTTAAATGAAATGTTTTTATACTATATCCAACATTCTCCCACCTTTTGACTTGCAAAGTCAAAATATTAATTATTAATCCAGGTATCTTCGTGGGGTATAATTTTTCTTCCTCTTTGTGTGTAAACAGGTTGATCATGTTCACGACCAACACCTTCAGCTACTTGTTCATCTTCCATTTCGAATGTTTCATTACCATCTTGATTGTCTTTCTGCTGGACCAATTCAAGTGGAAACACATGTTGTATGGGTCTCAGCACTGTTCCTTTTGATGTTTTCATTTCCACAAGACGTATGTTGCCATCTTTTCCAGGAAGTATCTTCTCAATCTTCGCCAAAGGCCAGTCCATCCGTTTGGTATTGTCGCTTCCAAGTAAAACAATTTCTCCAACTTGCACTTGACGAAATTTCTTCTTCTTCGAATGTAACACCAATTGACTTAAATATTCGCTTCTAAATCTTTGTTCAAGATCTTCTTTTAATTTTAATTTAAAGTTCCAACGTCGAGACAAATTTGTGTAGTTGATCTGGCCCAAATCAATAACTCCATACTCCTTCGTACCATTCAAAAACATAGCTGGCGTCAAAACTTCCATGTCATGGCTGTCTTCTGAAATGTAAGTCAAGGGTCTACTATTTATGACAGATTCACAACTGCACAAAACGGTCAAAAATTCTTCATAAGTCAAACTAGCTCTTCCTAAGACTCTGCGAAGAAGCTGTTTCAATAGTCTTATGAGTCTTTCCCACCAGCCTCCCAATCTGACGACTTTATCAAATCTGGAGAAATATCTGTAATACCAACAATCTGGTTCAGGTTTTGAATTCATCATAATCTTTGTAGTTGATTTAATCTTTCTAAGTTCAGAATTTACTTCTTTCTCATCACAATCATCAATGAAGTTTTGGTTAGACCACAAGTTTGATGAGTTTCTTAGCCATTGTGGTCCCTCCCACCATTTCGACTCCACTAGCTGCTTAGGAGAACATCCACGTGACGGCAAATCAGCTGGATTCATATGGCCTGGAACATGATTCCAAGATTCAATGTTACTAAGGGATCTTATTTCTTTTACTCGGTTCCAAACAAACACTCCCCAGTAATCTTCTCGACGAATCCATGACAAAACGGTGGTTGAGTCGGTCCAATAAAATGTTTTGACATTTTCAAATCCTAAACTCTTTAAGACGTTGTCAGTTAGACGAGCGCCAATGGTAGCCGCCAGTAACTCCAGCCGAGGAATGGTCATCTTCTTGACAGGTGCAACTCTACTCTTCGCTTGAACTAATTGAACTGTGGTATGTCCATTAGATTCACCCCTCAGGAAAACCGCAGCCGCATAAGCGTCCTGGCTTGCATCACAAAAACAGTGAACTGTCCAAGAAATATTCCCTCCGATTTCATTCCCAAAATATCTTGGAATTTTCAAATTTGAAAAAACCTCAAGTTGCTTTGCCCAATCTAAAAACAAAAGTTTCAACTCTTCTGAAACCTTGTCATCCCATCCAATTTTACTTTCCCACGTTTTCTGCAGCAATATCTTAGGCAAGAGTGTAGCAGGACAAGTTATACCTATGGGGTCATACAACTTGTGAGCAAAAGACAAAATAGATCTCTTTGTGACTATTTCAGGCTCTTTAAACTCAAAGTTTTCAAAATTCAACTCAATCATGTCAGTATTTTTGTTCCAATTTAAACCTAAGATAGGTGTCAAAGTAGAATCATTTTTAAAACTCTGAATTTCTGTGTACTCCCAACTCCGAAGACAGAATCTAGCATCTTTCATTATAGAAGTCGCTTGATCTACAAATTGATTCAAATCTGAAAAGTCATCAAAACTTGCCATACAATTATCTACATAGAAACTTCTCGCCAGCGTCTCTACTACTTTTCTTGAGTAGTTTAACGATCCAGAATCTATCAAGTCTAATGTTTTTTCTAAATGAAGTTTGATTACTGCACTTAGCATAAATGGGCTACAGGTAACTCCAAAAACCACTCTAGCGTGTCTGTAAACAACCAATTGACCATCTTCATTAATCCACAAAAAACGAAGAAAATCTCTATCATCCATATGTACACCAATCTGTAAAAAAGCCTTCTCGATGTCAGCAACAACTCCATATCTGTGTAGTCTAAAACGATTTAATATGGACGGAATCAATTCAATTAGATTGTCACCTTTTTCTAGACAATCGTTCAACGAGGGCTGATTCTTTTCTTTAGCAGATGCATCAAATACAGGTCTCAATTTCGTGGTAAGACTGTTTTCTTTTATCACATGTCGATGCGGTAGGTAGTGACCAATTTCCAAATCAGCATCGTTAACCTTCTCTATGATACCTAATTCCTCCCAGTCAGACAACACCTGTTGATATGAACTAAGATATCCACTAGAATTAAGTTTATTTGTAAGATTACTGAGTCTCTTCTGTGCTACTTTTAAATTAGTAGGTAACGGCGGGTGATCTTCAACCCATGGCAATTTGACCTGATATCTGCCATCATTTTCCACTGAAACAGATTCTACAAAATGTTCCATTGTTCTACTTTTAACTGAAGATTCACTCTTGACCTCCACTGGATCATTGATTCCTAAAACATCCAAACTCCACAAATCTGAAATGGTTTTATTATCAATAGGGGATAGTAAAGAAGTTACTGCCATAGAACTGGACCTGCTATTACCTTCAACTGTGGTTCTTCCCATTAAAGTCCAGCCCAACAAAGTATGCATCGCAACTAACCCGTTGGAAAGCAAATATCGTTTCTCAGTGTAAAGTTTCCCGGCAACGTCTGCCCCTATCAGAACTTCAATAGGCCCGTCTCCATCTGTTACATTAATTCCCAGTGTTCCAAGCTCAATGGACCAAGGACCAGGCTTAACTGCTGTAACCTCGTTACAAATTACATCTTGATCAAGAACGTCAAAATTGCAGGCATAACTGTTATTTAAGTCACTTAGTCTAACCTTATAACACGCATGTTCAATTGTTTCAGTACTAGTGCCACCAAATAAAGCATGAACTAGCTTCTCCTTTCTGACTATGTCGTAGCCAAATTCCTTTGCTGTATTTTTCAAAATATAAGACCGTTGTGATCCCGTATCTATTAAAACACGTGCTGTTCGCTCTCGATTTTGGTTTCTAATTTTTACTAAAAAGGTTTGTAAAAACACTTCTGTGTGAACATTGTTTGCTAGAGAACTTTCTTTGCCTGATTGTTCACTCAATGAACTTCCTTCTGCAGCAGATGCCCTACACATAACAGCAGTGTGCCTCCTTCCACAGTTAGGACATTTTACTCTAACTTTACATTGCGCACTCCTATGACCATACTTCAAGCAAGTAAAACAACAACGATTTTTTCCAACGATTTTTACCTTCTCATCTACTGTCAATTTACTGTCTTTACAGTTTTCAGCTAAGTGGTTAGAACCACAAAACATACATTTAACGTCTTTAGTATTTAAATTATCAGACATCGTTGGGTTAACTAAACCAGCAGCTGTCGGCATCATTTCAGTATGTCTGGTGTAACTAGGATTAGGTCGAAATACAGTCGATTTACTTACTTTAGGCTGTAGGTTAGGTCGCTTACTATCTTCAAAACCAGATGCGGCTAGGGTAATCCTTTCCTCGTTAGCAACCTCCTTTTGCAGAAATTTCATCAAACCATCAAGTCTATCCTTAAGTTCAGCATCAACTTCATAGCCAGAGTGACGCTGCCAAGCTCTCAACAGTTCCTCGGGCAAACAAGACTCTATAAGAGGATATAACATAGCAGAACATTTGTCAGTTGTTACTC